AAGTGATCCTCCTGCCTCAGCCTCCCGAGTAGCTGGGACTACAGGCATGCGCCACCATGCCCGGCTAATTTTTTCTATATATATTTTTAGTTGTCCAGCTAATTTCTTTCTATTTTTAGTAGAGACGGGGTCTTGCTCTTGCTCAGGCTAGTCTCGAACTCCTGAGCTCAAATAATCCCCCCGTCTCGGCCTCCCAGAGTGCTAGGATTACAGGCATGAGCCACCGCGCCCGGCCATGCAGTAAAAATTCTTAAAGTGACTTTTGAGGGGTTTTTCTGAAAAGAAATAAAACAATTCAGTGCTTTTTAAGCACTTCTTCCTGTCTCTGTCCCACCTCTGGCTTTGTTCTCATTGTTCCCCAGCCTGCACAGTGTTTTAACTTTTAGTTTGACTCTGCCAGACCTTTTCACATTGCTTAAATTTTGGACTGATTTTCCACCCAGAAGCCTTTCTGCTGGTCCCATGTGCTACAAGGATGTGTGGCGATCGCTCAACATAGTCTACATCTCCCAAGTCTCCTTTGTATCCATTTCGACTTACGGGCTGTATTGTCTCAAAGTTAGTCTCCCTTTCACATAGAAGCCAGCTGAACTGTTTTGGCTTCTTTTACAAGAGGACTAGTGGGTAAAAGTGAGAACGTAAAAAGCACTAATCGGGCTATCCCTTGCGATGTCCTCATGGGAACCTGCAGTAGAGGACTCAGGCCTGCTCTTTCAAATATGACTACAAGGGAAGGAAAAGTCATCAATCCTGCCTGTCAGTAGCAGACTGCTCTGACATTCCCACCAGTGTGGTCTTACACTGACCTCAGTGCTAGGTTCTTAGATGGAAATTTTTTGCCAGTTTTTATATGTCCACAGCTTTTTATATGTCCTGGCATGTCTACATGCCAGGCAAGGTGCTGTCTTATGTGCAATATTTTGTGTGATATTATCTCCTTAAAACAAGGGTGAGAATAGCTACACATGTGAAGTTTGCTAGAAGCAGAGCTAGACTGGAGATTAGGTGAAAGGTCCCATCAAAAAGCTTTTGTGGGGCAAATACCTGGGGGTCCTCATTGTTCTAGCTTCAACCTGCAATGCTCTACATACGAGCAACACCAGTTGGACCACATTAAAAGATAGGCATGGGTGATGCTTTGGCAGGGAGGGGTGCTTTCCATTCTCGTGAGATTCACAATCCACATGTTGCCATCTTAACCAGGGTTTAGTAGTTAACACCAACTTTATACCACTCCACACAATTCGTGGCATCAGCAGCCACATGAGCCCAGTGCTGCTCCGCTGGACCTTGGTCCTGCTCCTACCGTTGACCCTACATTAATCTTTCTCTAATCCTAACCCCACGCCCCTCCCCCTCAGCCCCACGCCCTCCTCCTCTGAACAAGGTAAGAGAAAGGGAGAGAAAGGAGAAACAGAGTTTAAAAAATTGGCTCAGACAACCAAGGAAAAATTCACACTAAACTGAGGAAGGGCTAAGCCTGAGAAGGAAGGAGGGGTGCAGGGTTGTTTCCATCACTCGAAATTGCTGATTCAATAGCCTGTTGCCAATGGATTGCTGAATCATCTTTTTATCCCAAAGAACAGCTAGATACCGTCCTCCAGGGCCATATCCTGAGATGTTTTCCTGGCATCAGATTTCCGACTCCTAGAATACTTCTACCTCTTTCCCATGGATACATACTCCAACAATTCCTATTCCTGATTCCTCGTTCTAAAATACACTGCTTTCCCTTAATAATTTTGCCCTCCTCCTTATCTTCCCACCATTAACGATCAGCAACTCAGTTATACCAGGACCATCTTAGCTTCCTTCTTGGGAGCCAGTTGTAAGACCAAAATATCCTGTCCTTCCACAGCCAGATCTTCCTCAGCTACTTAACAAGAATGTAAACATTCTAAACAAAGAATTGAAGACACTTTTACTGCTGTAGACCACAGAAGAATACTTCAGAGAGACCCTACAGTATGGCCCCAAGCGGCCATTCAGCTTGATCCTTTGTTACCATGTGGCAGGCCCAGCCTAGAGCCTGCCTGGCCACCCCCTGCCTCATCCTGTCTCCCGTCACCTTTGTCAGAACCTTCCTGACAAGCCAAAGAGAAAGCAGGTCCTCTGACCAAGGCAGAGAGGAGACAGATCAACACTGGAGTCCCCTCAATGAAGATTCACACATTCACATTTCCTGATGATATTTATTACCACCTGAACATTTCCAATAGGGAAGGACACATCCCTAATTTTCCTAGGATCCACCTTTTCAAAGTTTCCCAGGGAATTCATCTTTCATGAAACTCTTTTGTTCCTCTGGAGTCAGGAGTAAGACTCCAGAGCTCTGTTTATCTTTTTTTTTTGACACAGGTAGGGGAAAGTCTCAATCTCTGCAAACGGTAAACTAATCAGACACTCATTTCCCCTGCCCATTTCTGGGCTGACCTACATATTACACATTATTCTTTCCCTTAGGAGTCTGGTTCCTTTTTGTCTGAGGTCATATTTGCATGCGTGATCTGCCCATGGGCACCCCTGTCAGGCCATTGAGGGGCGTGTGGTGGCTTGACCTGGACTGCCCATGGCTACCCAGCCAGGGCCTTCAGGACAGCTGCAACTCACAACCAGTCTCTTGTTGACCTCCAGCTGGTTTCCTAGGAGACTTGGCCCCTCTTCTTTGGTCTCAAGGGCCCCAGGAGTCCAAATGCTCCCAACTGAATGTCCCAATTAAGAAAGCAGTAACAGAAAGATCACATGGATACCCAAAGTAGTTGGGATAAACACTGGACACAGTAAGGCACCCAAATCACACCTTGGCTAAATATACCAAGAGGGTGTGTGCACCTTGGGACAGGATGGACCTAACAGAATTCCGCCCTGAGCAGGTCACCTCAAAGACCTCACTAGTGCACACAGAACTCCTTTTCAGTTGTATGCAAATCCTTTGCTGCCTTCGCACCTCCCTCACAATGGACCCCCATTTCCTCTTTATGTTATTACCTGACAAACGCAGAGGTCATTTGGTTGGCTGGACAAGGAATCTCAGCTCTGACAACAGGACCTTCTGAATATGCCACCTTATCTGGGGCAAAGAGAAATCCCATTGTTTCTAACCGGTGTGAGTCCTCTGATGACTCATAAGACGTGAACTCCGAGAAAAGCTTTCTCCACATTCAGAACATTTATAGGGTCTCTCTCCCGTGTGGGTTCTCAGGTGACGAATCCGATTGGAGCTGTGAGAGAAACTGTCTCCACACTCATGACAGGTATAGGGTTTTTCTCCAGTGTGAATTCTCTGGTGCCTGATTAAATTGGATCTATGAGAAAAGTTTTCCCCACAAAGGGTACATTTATATGGTTTCTCTCCTGTGTGCGTTCTCTGATGTCTGGTGAGGTGCATGCCCTGCCGGAAGCTTTTCCCACAAGTCAAACATTCAAACAGTTTCTTCTCTGCCTTGTGGGCTCCATGGTTTGTAAGAAAGGGGGCACTGTCATTCATGGCTCCCCCACACTCAGAGAAGGCATAAAGTCTCTCTTTCTCATGAGTTCTTTCGTGAATGACAAGATGTGAACTCCGAGAGAAACTTTTCCCACACTCCGGACACTTATAGGGTCTCTCTCCGGTATGAATTCTCTGGTGCCGAAGGAGGTTGGAACTGTGAGCAAAGATCTCCCCACACTCGGGGCACTTGTAGGGCTTCTCCCCCGTGTGTGTTCTCTGGTGCCTGTGGAGGTTGGAGTTGCAAGAGAAGCTTTTTCCACATATGTTACACTGATAGGGCTTCTCGCCCGTGTGTGTGCGCTGGTGGCGAGTCAAGTGGGTATTCTGACTGAAGCATTTTCCACATTCGAGGCACTTATGGGCCTCTTCTCCCAGGTGTGCTCTGTGTAGTGACAGAAAGTGTGGGTTCCCTCCGAAGATGTCACCACACTCCACACCCATACACAGTCTTTCTGCTGCATGTATTCTCTGGTGCCTAATTAGATTTGAGTTGTTAGAGAAATTTTTGCCACACAAGGGACATAAATGGAGTTTCTTCGGCTGTAGTTCCCTCGGTCGCCCCAGTTCCCTGTAACTTGTGGCTCCTGCTAAAGACGGCTCCACTGGATCCTCTGGGGGGCGCTGAGAATCCCCTTCTGCCCTGCCATGAGGTCTTCCCTGCTCAGGACTCCAGGGCACCTCCCCTCCGGCCTGGCCAGGGAGCAGCGCCTGAGGGTGGGTATTCTCAAGGGAAACAGAATGAGCACTTTCTTCGGGGTTCTCAAATTTCTCTTCCCCTGGTAAAGAGGGAGAGAGAGATATTATTTCTACAATGGAGAAAAGAAAATCTCACATGTCTACTGGTGCCTATCAGGCTAAAAGCCCAGAGGTCTAGTTCTACCTCAGTTTCCCTTCCTTTACCTGCAAGTAAAGCACTTTAGAGAGGCATCTGGATAAAGGGTTGGGCCATTGCTCAAGGAATCAGAGCTCAGACAAATTTTGGGATTCCCCTCTCCAACTGAGCCGCCCACCCTTCAGGAGTAGGTGGGGCACGTGAGCCGAAGAGTGAGTGCCTCCTTAAAGGTTGCACCTGGGTTCCTCACTTGCCTCCCTGGGATGGAGAGTGGGCAGTGGGGACACAGGAGGCAATGTACCTCCCTGGCAGCAGTGCTGGGCTAGCCCTGGATCCAAACCCTCAAAACCTCATTCTTTTCTTTTTTTTTTTGAGACAGAGTCTCCCTCTGTTGACCCTGCAACCCCTAAGTTCAAGCAGTCCTCCTGCCTCAGCCTCCCGAGTAGCTGGAACTACAGGCACATGCCAGGATGCCAGGCTAATTTATCTATTTTTAGTAGAGACGGGGTCTAGCTCTGTTGCTCGGGCTGGTATCGAACTCCTGAGCTGAAGCGATCCTCCCGCCTCAGCCTCCCAGAGTGCTGTGATCACAGGCTGAGCCACCACCCAGCCAAAACACCTCATTCTTGACTGCAGGAGCCCTGCCTGGGTAGGCTGCTCTCTTTACTGCTTACCTGGAGCTGGGCTGCCGGGGCTCAGGCCCTCCCTGCAAGTCTGGCCACTGGGATCCCATGGCTTTCCTCCGTGTTCCACCCGGGTGGCTGGGGCCCCCTGACTGGGAATGTGAGACTCTGTTCACAATGAAAGAAACAGATTTCTGTATCACCACTTTCCTCTGCCAGGCAAGGGAAACAAAGAGATAGTCTTGTTCCCTGTCCTCAGTAGACAGACACAGAATGCTCAATAAAGTTCACAGCAATTACTTGGAATATACACTGAACTGTTCCCAGTGGTTACCTCTAGAGAAAGAAATTACAAGAGCGAAGGCTATAGCTTTTTTTCCTTTTTATAGTTCATGGTACTGTGGATATTTTACAATAAGAACATATACTTTTGTAATTAAAACAACAATAAAACAAACATGGTCAGTCAGGGTGGTCAGTTCCTCAAAGAATTGGTTTAATATCATGAAAGAGCCTGACCCTTACATATAAATATAAAATAGAGCTAAATTCAACTGGGCAACTCCGAAGTGAAAATAACATGATGGACAATCAGAAAAGGATCTGTGACTCTAAGACGACCATGAGATTAAAACCCCAAAGTGCCATTTCTGTGCTATGCTAAAAAGAAAAACAAAAACCTCACTCCACCACTAGCAGATATGCACTCGAACGTAAGTTTACTCCCAACAAACTGATCTGATCTTCTCCTCCTATTTAGCACTCACGGACGGAGCTATGTTCAACTTTGGGCATCACAGCAGCAAAAAGTGAGATGGAAGCCAGCACGATGGCACACAGCGGTAATCCCAGTTACTACGGGCTGAGGGGAGAGGATCACTGGAGCCCAGGAGTTCAAGGCCAGCTGCACGACACAGCAAGATCTCATCTCTTAAAAAAAAAAAAGTGATATAGAAAACCTGTAGACAGTCCCAATGAAGGAAAACAAAAAAACAGCAGTAATCCCTTTTGCAGAATTAGTGCAAATGAGTTTATAGCTCGGATTTTCTTCACACAAACCTGAAAACAATGTATAGCATGTCTTTCTACTAGCGTGTGTTTCAACATAGCAATAATTGTAATGTCTACACAGTCTTATTTTATGTTGTCTTTTAAGACCTCCCCCAACTTTTTTTTTTGAGACAAGAGTCTCATTCTGTGACCCTGGCTAGAGTGCAGTGGCATCATCCTAGCTCACTGCAACCTCAAACTCCTGGGCTCAAGTGATCCTCCTGCCTCAGCCTCCCAAGTGCTAGGATTACAGGTGTGAGCCACCGTGCCCGGCCCATCCCCCAACTTTTTATTATAGGAATTTCCATACATACAGAAAAGTTGAGGGAATTATACGATAAATACCTGTGTCCTCCACCTAAATCCAACTATCACTTTGTTATATGTCATAAGCATCATTTTAAATCTCTGCAACACATAGATACATCTTAATTTATGATTTAGCCTGTTTTAGATATATACATTGTTTCCAAATGTCCAAAAGACCCTCCCTCTTTCCTGAATTTGTATGGGCTGTGAAAGCTGCTAAGCTGGAATGCTAATGCCAGTGCCCCTGAAATTTCTGTCTTGGGGAAAAGCCTAGAAATACTAATGGAGCACAGAAAACATAAGCAAGCACAGAAGAATAAGCATTTTGAAATGCAAGGAATCAAGAATTTACAGCCCGCCCCCAGTATCTGGGGACACCGAGTGTGTGTGAAGCTGGTAGGAGGTCACAGGATTTGATTTCTTCTGCCTTAGGAAGTCCATTATGGTTCAGACTCCCTGCGTTAAGCAGCTGGGGCTCGAGTCCAGGCCTGCCTGTAAGTGTGTCAACTATGTCACTTGGCAGATGTTTCACCCTATGCAGAAGACTTTAGACAAAGGGAGATCTCCTATGGAAGCTTCTTTGCAAAACTCATATCCAGGAGGTGAATGTTCATGAGGCATGACCCTGGTCAGAAATGGCACAATCGTCATCCCTGGAAAAGAAGTCCTTACCCAGTGAGTCCACATTCTCATAACTCTCCTGCACCGTGTCCCTGGAGAGGGCCCTCTTACTAGGATCCTGATGCCCCCACTCCTCCTGGGAGATGTACATTGCCACGTCCTCTAAGCTCTCAGGCAACTGAAACAGCACAAGATCTCATTTAGCCCCTGGTGCACCAAGAATAATTCAAGCAGAGTCATGGGTGAAAGGGGCAAAACCCAGGGGTGCCAAGGACACGTGTCATGGGGAAGAAGGGTGTCAAGCCTGCAAGTGAGGTGTGGAGGAAATAAAGATGGTTGGGAGATGCTTGTGGTGAGGAAGAAAGGATCCTCCAAGTGGCAGAAGGGCCCCCCCACCCAAAAGGAACACTAAAGGGAGGAAGAAAGGTGCTGGGGGGAGACAATGGAAACTTCCACTTCACCTGGGGCCCAGTCATTTCCTTGTCTTCTATTTTCCCTTCAGGAGGAAAGAGAGAAAGCCAGGGAGCAGACAATGCTGAAGGTGACAGAGATCATAATGAGAATGGCATTTCTAATTCCTGGCAACCCAAGGATTATTACAATATGATATCCATTCCCCAACACCCAGTCTCTGCTTTTAGGATTGAGCAATAAACAAAAGAAGGCAACAGAGGCATAATAAAATGATATACAAGATGACAGGGTCAGAGTAAAGGAATATTCGGAGTAGCACTCCAAACTCCCATCATTCACATAGCAGCCTCTGTTCTGCATACAAAAGGGCACTACAAAAGATCCCCCTCCCTCCTTCCACCCTCAGAAGGACACACACCACCACTTTTAGGTCATTTACTCCACATCTGAAAACCTCGACTTCACAAATTCCTTCTTCTTCGCACCAGTGCTACATTCTGCTAGTGTCAGGGGTAACCCCGAAGCCCTTCCTCCCTCCCACCTACCCAGATAACTGTTCCTCACCCCTCTCCTTTACAGCCTGGGGGTCCCTTTTGGGGCTGGGGCCTAGCAGTTCTTGCAGCCTGGGGCCAGGGCTTCGCTCAGTCTCCATTGGCTCCAGCTTGAAGCTCGGTGACTCTCGTGCTGTTTCCAGAGGCAAAGGCTCCTCCAAAAGCACTTCTGTTTCCCGCCCATGGTTTGTGACCTGGGAACCAACCCACATCACTCATCACCACAACAGGGCCCAATAGGAAATGAAATTAGTACAGGATTCCGAGGGCAAGCCTTCAACAGAGAACCACAGGTGATCACGTTGGACCCAGCAAGAGAGAAGAATGATTTATCCTAAAGGCTTTTTTGATCCCATGTGCAGCAGTTGAAACAGGGTGGGGAAGGCCACTCCCACCGCACACCTTCCTCACACAGCTCTTCGGATACATCTCGCTCACTGCCTTTTGCTCTCCCCTACCTTTTCTAGATGCTTCTATCCCTCACTATTGGATAAGCTAAACTTGGGTGACCCTGGGGGACAGTAGCCTCAGTGCCAGATTGTTCAAAACTTTACACGTTGCTCTCCCTCTAACCCTTAAAACAGTCCTAGGAAGTATTTTATCTTCCTCATTTTACCAGTAGGAAAACTGAGGCCCCAAGAGATCAAAAACTCGCCAAAGTGACAAAGCTAGTACTAGCGGAGTGAGGACTGGAACACGGGAGATCTAACTCCAGGCCTAACACTGTCACAGAGGCACTGCCTCCGTGTGGAAACAGGGCACTCTTCACTGCTCACTCCGTTCATCTGGGGAAAATCCAAAGGATGACTGTTCCAGATTAAAAGACAAAAAGGTCTCTTCCCCATGTAAAGTCTACTCAGGGCAACCAAGTAGATTCGACTCGGGGCGCGGTATCTCAGTCCCAGGGGCCAAACAAACCGCAAATAAAACAGCTCTTTCTCCCTCTCACCTGTTGTCTCAGTCTCCCAAGTTCTCTCTGCATATCCTCCACAAGGGTCACCGCTTCTTCGCCGCTCTCCGGATGCAGCTCCTGCACCCTGCTCTGGATCTCCTGGGGCAGAATGATCAGGAACTGCTCCAGCACCAGCAGCTCCAAAATCTGCTCCTTGGTGCGCATCTCAGGCCGCAGCCACCCATGGCAGAGCTCCTGGAGCCGGCTGAGGGCTTCCCGGGGACCAGCTGCCTCTTGGAAGCGGAAACGTCTGAAGCGCAGGTGGGAGGCCTCTGGGCTCGGTCCTGGGTCAGGCGGGGGCACCTCCTGGCTCCAGGCGCAGTCCTCCTCCAATTTCACTATCAGGAGCCCTTCCCGTTCCTGGGAGCCCGGGCCCGACGACATCGTCAGGCCCCGGAACGCTCTGGCTCCGAAACCAGCTGCGCCCGCCTAGGAAGGCGCACCGGGCCCCGTGCAAGGATGGACGGCGTCGGCAGGAGCTGCGCGCTCGGGACTCCAAGGCCCAGCCGAGAAGCCCAGCTCCAGCCCGGGCGCAGCCGGCTCTGGGGCCGAGGTCTCAGTCAGTCGCGGGCGCCACTGCGCTGGCCCCCTGGTCCACCCGCGCCAAGACTTCCCTGAGGCAAGACCAGAACGCCGCGCTCCCCACCGTAGCTGACCCACGCAAATCGCAGCTCTCAGCTCCCATGCCGGAAGTCCCAGCGCGCGAGTTAGGCGTTCGCAAGCCAACGGAGCCTGCTTGGGACCAACTTCCGGGTCACATTTTGCGAACTCTAGCGCCTATTGGGTCAGGTCTCGCCACAGACTCACCAGCGACCTACGAGAAGGAAAGATTTGCTTGCGGGGGCGGGATGAGCGACGGGCCAATTGCAGACGAGAGGCGGGGCCATCGGGAGAGCCCTGCAATCCCTGGGAGGGACTGGGGGCGGGGCCGATAGGTTCAAGAGGAAAATAAGCCCAAGGCGGTTGTGACCGGCAGACAACGTGGGTAGAATTCCTCAGGGAAGCTTACTGAAATGCAAATTCCAGAGTCTAGGGACATCCGGTGGGGCCCAGAAATCTGGGTTGTTAATAAGTGCCCCCGAGGCAGTGCCCAAATACCCCTGCGGCCTCGGAGGCTCCGGAAACTGGGGCACACCCCGCCGCTCCCTTGCCACCTGAGAGAGGCCGGAGAGCATGACGCCCTCCCCGCGGGGGCGCGACGCGGCCGTCGGCGCGGGGCCTGCTGGGAGATGCAGTCCGCGGCGCGGCCCCGCGAGCGCGCCTGCGCCCTGGAGCAAGTACCGCGAGCGCGGGGAGCCCGCCGTTCTTTATTCCTAAAATGAGTACCCATCCTGAAATCCTCTCTCATTTCTAGCCTAGCAATCTGGTCTGAATAATTTCAGAAACAGCCAAAGCTCAGACCTCAGGCTTGGGCCCAGTTCCTTGATCCTTTCCTCCGTGAGAGATGTCGAAGAGGGTAGGAGGACAAGCTGGGCTCTTAGCCTTTCCTTAGCGTTTGTGATCGGTCTGATTACTCTCCGAACCCCGGTGTTTTAACTGGGAGCCATCCCATCTTTTCCAGTTTGCATTGTCAGGACTTCTCAGAGGTCTAACAGTCTACCCACACATTTTTTTAAGGCTCCTAGAAAATTAAAATAACACAAAAATTGTGATATATTTTAAATATTTGTGTTTAACTAGCATCTTCAAGAACACAACTGGATATTTTATTAGAGATAACTTCAAAAATCTAAAACTTGAGGACTTTCATAAAGACAAGACCATACTACATGGTCCTAGGAGGGTCCTCTCCACCCCCACGTTGCATTCTATAGCAACTCTTTAGCCATTTCTCCCTAAGAGGAAGGGACAGTGGAGGCCAGCATCGAAGGACTAGACGCGCCTCACCTCGATCTGAGGGTAGGAAGTACACTTCTACTTCCTTCTACTTCACTTCTCCTGGTTTTTAAAATATCGTCATAGATTCTTTACCATTCTTCCGATCAAGAAGTGGGGCCTCTGCCTCTTCCCCTTGTATCTGGGCAGTTTGTGACTGCTAACAATGAAATAACAATGAAATACAGATGCTGTGTAACTTCCAAGGTGTTGTCATAAAAGGCCTTGCAGCTTCCATCTTGTTTGGTAGGAGAATTTGCACTTGGAGCCCATGTAAGAAGTCTGGCTGCCCTGATAGCTCCATGCTGGAGAGGACACATGTAGGCTTTCTGGTAGACATCCAGATGTGCCTTTGTTTCTCATAAACTAGAAACAAAAATAAAGCAAATAGACATTGCAATTGATTAATTGTGGGTGATAATTACATAAGGTATTTGTTGTGTTCTGTGTATTTGAACCATTTCATTTTTTAAAAATCTCCAAGAAAAGGCATATTAAGCAAAGCTATCTCTGGCTGTTAGTTTGAAACAGGGCTCTGACTCCAGCTGCAGGAATGAATCTTTTCAAGGAAGGGGAGGAAGAAGGTTGTGGATTCTGCTGCAAGGAGTTTGAGGGGGAGCACAAGGAGTGGGGGTCTGTGACCTTGACCTCAGCAGGTCCTCCTGTCAGTCCTGCCTGCTCCACAGTGCTGGGAGAACTCCTCAGACCCTTGTATTATTTGTCAAGACCTTTCAAGCAGTCAGCCATTCCCATAAGCCTTCTACTTCTTAAGGACTCCCCTTTGTTTGCTCCTCCCGGAAACTCAGGTTTCCCAAATTCCCGGAGCTCTATCCTTGTGTTTAACACTCATTGTTCTTAAAAGGAAGAGTTGGGAAGCAAATTGTTCCAATGGAGTAGGGATTATTAGTGCAATCTCAGAGCTTTCCCTGGGAAGTAAGCAGATACTCTGTAGGATTTATATTATTCCCCAAAGTGCCATATTTTCTGTCCTTAAAACTATTTTGCTCAATGAGGTCCTTGAGCCAAGGACTGGCAGGGCAGGAGTCAGACCTAGTACAAGCCAAGGCTGCCCACAAAGATGCATCATTCTTGGAACTGACTGTAGCAAGGAGGTGAAAGATGTAGGCTCCTCAATTGTCAGAGGGTCTTCCAACTGGAGAGTCAGAGGAGGGCTCCATGGGGAACAGGAGTCAGCCCTGGAAACAAAGGAGGCAACCTCTTAACCTTCAGTCAAGGCTTCTCGCAATTCCATGACCTGATTCACACAGCTAACCAGTCACTTTGCCAACAGTCATTTCTGGCAGACATGCATCAAGGAGACACTTCTGGAAGCTACTGGTGCTGGAACAGTTACCCATAATCTAGACCAGTGGTTCTCAGCCTTGGTCAATATTAGAATCAGCTCTGGACCTTTTAAAAATCCCGATGCTTGGGTACCACACCCTTTAGAGATTCTGATGTATTTGGTCTGGGCTTCAGGATGTTTTAAAGCTCCCCGGGTGATTCTAATATGCACCCAAAGTTGAAAACCAGTGATCTATGTATTAATTTGAGGAATAGCATAAGAAACTTGGAAGAAAGCAACAGGCCTGGTAGAGGATTTCCAAAGAGGTGGTATATTTTTAATGACTGGTGAAAGAAAGATAGTGTGCTCTATTTCAACGAAAGTTATTATAATCATAGGTCAAGCTATATTTCTTGTTAAAAGTCTTCATTTTAACATTATATAAGAAGTCTGCGCCGGGCATGGTGGCTTATGCCTGTAATCCTAGAACTCTGGGAAGCCGAGGCAGGAAGATCACTTGAGCTCAGGAGTTCAAGACCAGCCTGAGTAACAGTGAGACCCTGTGTCTACTAAAAATAGAAAAAAAATTAGCCATCTGTGGTGGTGCACACCTATAGTCCCAGCTACTCAGGAAGCTGAGGCAGGAGGATTATTTGAGCACAGGAGTTTGAAGTTGCTGTGAGCTATGATGATGTTACTGCACTCTAGCTCAGGCAACAGAGTGAGACCCTGTATCAAAAAAAAAAAAAAGAAAAGAAAAGAAAGAAAGTGCCCCTCAGACTACCATGCAGGTGAACACAGTCTTGTTATGTTTACCTGAACACAGCAGTCTTGATGAGTAGGACTTAAACGGAATATTGGAACTAGAAAAACAGACCATCTAGCTGGGTGTTCCAAACTTTTTATGGGCTGCACTACACTTGGATCAAAGGAAATCTTTCGTGAAGGTCCAATACATAAAAGTTAAATAGTGGCTTCTCTGGCATTACTGGGGCGGTCTATGCCTAGAAGCCCCTACTAGGTAATCCCAGGTGGACTTCAGGAAGTCCACGAGCCCCCTGAAATAAGAAATTTAGGATGCATGTGCCGTTTTCTGAGCCAAGCCATTATCTCTATGACCCATAGAATTTTCCTAGATTTTTCAAAAAGAATCATTAAACAAAGACGTTTGAGAATCTATACTAACTCTAAGGTTCCAAGGGGGCAGTTTGAGAACCTTGCTCTAGCCCCAGTCTCTGTTCCGTTTATAAATGAGAAAACGGCAGTGTCGTTGTTGGGATGATCTATTTCTTTCACGGCGCATGTTATAACTGGAAATTACCGTTTACTCCCCTCTCTCCACCCTAGAAATTGAGCTCCTTTGGGGCAGGGACCTTGCCTGTGGTCCCCATCCTCTGCACCTGGCACAGTGAGTGGGACACAGGAGGTACTCGGTAAATACTCGCTGTAAACGCGAGTAAAGGAAGTCAACAGACTAATACAGGGCGGAGGGACTTTGGCGTCAACGGGATGTGCACAGCCGCAGACGTCCCTGCTTGTGAGCCCCTGGCCGCCCAGGTACACACCGACTCTACTTCCCGGCGCTGTGCCCAGGATACCAGCAACTGCAGTGGCTCCTTGCCCGCGCCGGTCCCTCTGACGAGCAGCAGCTATAGGCTGTTGGGGCTGCCAATCAGATAAACGTCGCCGCGGCCCAGCGACCTCTGCGAGACGCAGGCGTCCGTCCCTCCGCCCTCCGATTGGTTCCGCGTGCTCCCGGGGCCCTCTGGGAGATGTGGTTCCGAGGCCCGCCCGCGCCTGTGTGTGCGTGCGTGCGTGCGTGCGTGGCCCGGGACGCTGGAAGTCCGGCCCCGGGTGGGTTGTGTCGCCTCGCAGCTGCGGGCCTGGCCTCCCTCGCTCGGCAGGCTCGCGGGACCCGGCGGGTCGGATATTGCTTGACCCCAGCGCCTGCCTGCGTCTCGGACCCTCAGCCGGCGCTTCCTCTTATCCTCAGGCGGCTCTTCTGCACCGCCCTTCCCCGGCCTTCAGTAGCCTCTGCTCGGGCTCGGGAGCGCCGGCGGGAGGCCGTCTTGGAGGTGACGCCTGTGCCGGGGCGGGACCTGGTGCCCATGTCCACAGACACTGGAGGACGAAGCTCGTGGTTACTTCCGCGGTGCCAGGCTCTTTTGCGTATATGATCTGTCTGGATTCCCCAGACGACCCGTTTGACAGGAAACGGAAGCTCAGAAAAATCGGATATCTTGCCCAAGTCACATAGCTCCTGTGTTTGAATCCTCTGTTTCCCACCACTTCGTGCAGCTTCCAGACTCGTAAACAAGCAGTTTCAAAACAGTGATGTGTGGAAAGGACCGGGGAGGGGCCGGGGGGAGCCCCTTAGAGGACAGGATTCAGTAAATGGAACCTCAAAGGGAGCAGTTGCTTTCCAGGCACAAAACAGCTGGGTTTTGATATTTTTCTGCCTCATTCACTGGCCTGGAAGCCCTTTGACGGTCAGGGACTGAATGCCCAGAGCTTGGCTGGTAGTCAGGTCCCTGTAAATATTGGTAGGACAAAATTTTATTTTATTTATTTTTTAGAGACGG